GACTGCTTAGGGGTTGAGGGTTTAAGGTTTGGAGGTTTCGGGTTTGGGGTTTAGGGTTTAAGGTTTGGGGTTGAGGGTTTGGGGTTTGGGGTTTAGGGTTTAGGGTTTAGGGCTTAGGGTTTGGAGTTTGCCGTAGAGTGGCGCAGAAGCGGAAGTAGCTTGCGACGGTGTGTTGTGGAGTGCGTCGTAATATGACGATTAGCTTTTGGAGCCTGATGGTGGGTGGCTCTTTCTTTTAGCTCTCCCACCCCACGCCGTCTAAGGCGGCCAAACCACCCAAACCTTTTCCTTTTAGGGTTTAGCACCTAAACTCATTCGATGGTTTTCATTTATTTCTTTAGACTAGGCCCACACAAAGAAAGGAGGGGACTTCGACTTTGGCACCGGGCCATAATGAAAAGGCACATTTTATGAGCAGAATTTAAGAGGCAAAAACCAGCAGCAGGTTGGTCAGTGCAGGGCAAGGCAGGGCGGAAAGAAGTAGGGCAGGGGGGCAGCCGCTCCGCAAAGGTCTTCTGGAGGCCTCTAGGGTTTAAGAGCATAAGGAAAAGAGGACTAGCTAAGCAACCCTAGGGTAAATACAGCGCTAAGACCCCGTGTTTTGGGAACAAGGTGGAAGGGGAAAGCGGCTATCTCAACTAAACCCACAAGTACTCTATCCCTGTCCCTGCTACCTCCGGGGCGGCACCGGACAGTTCGTCGCCACCTCTGCTTTGAAAGGTCCGACTTGTGCAGATGATGCGCCTCGCGGCTGCGAAGTAGTAGCACCACACCCGCGCTAGAAGAAAAGAAGGTTAGACCCCTTAGAACCAATCCGGACTAGAAGAAAGAAGAACCCTCAGGACATACAAAGGAAGAGCACCCTAAAAAAGAATGCCGTCGCCAAACCCAGAGCGAGAACCTCGTAGATGGTCTTCCCGTCTTTTGTTTGGCTCTCGTACAGGGTGTAATCGATGTGGTCCTCCTGACCCCAAAGACACCAACTTACCCTAAACTTACCCTAAAAAGACCCGGAACCGATCCGGCTAAAGGAACGCACCCGAAACTTAAGAAATCCACCCTGAACAAGCTTCGCCCCGCGGTCTTCGTCAATTTCATGGATGTTCAGTGGGTCGCGGTCGTCGACCACGCCACACTCGAGGCACTCCAGGCGAACCTCCTGTTATCGGGGGAAGGGAAAAGCCCGCAAAAGACGCTAGCGCTGACTAGCGCCTACGTCGTATAACCTAAAAAATACCCCCGAGCAACCCTACATAGCCCTGAATCGCGGAAAGCCCCGAAGGAAACCGTTTTCGGATCCCAAGCCGGAATCCCTTGAAAGGAAGAAGACCAAACCCCGAAGAAGAACAACCACCATCCCTTGAGCAGCCTTCATGTCATATTCGAGGCGATCCGAAAAGCATTCTCGGCAAAGAAGGTCGCCTTGAATGTAGCGCTGCATGTGCGGCAGCGGGCGAGAAATAAGAGCAGGACGAGAAATTCGGGGCCACAGAAAGCTTGCTGCAGCGTCCAGCACATGCGAAAAAGAAAAGCTCCAATAGTAACACCTAGAACCCTAGTCGCCGTTCCATAGGGAGAGTTACAACAGACGACCCCGAGGATCATGGGACGCCCCCTCCCCCAACAACCATCATTATTTTTTGGGCACTGCGCGCCTCCCTCTCACTTCCTCCCACAAGCCTTCAATTCCTTGTTTTTCCAGGCACTGCCAGCACTCCCCTCCCCGTCTTTCCTCCCCTTCCACCTCCTCCTGCCCCGCAAGCCTTTCCTTCCCCAACAATTCTTGTTTTTCTAGGCACTGCGCGTTCGTCCCCTCTCCCCCTCCCCTCTCTCCTTCGCTCCTGTCTTCCCCCCTCCCTCTGCCGTCCTCTCCTTATTTTTTAGGCACTGCGCGCCTCCCTCTCACTTCCTCCCACAAGCCTTCAATTCCTGGTTCCAGGCACCGCCAGCACTCCCCTCCCCGTCTTTCCTCTTCCTGCCCCGCAAGCCCCAACAATTCTTGTTTTTCTAGGCACTGCGCGCCCGTCCCCTCTCCCCCTCCCCCTCTCTCCTTCGCTCCTGTCTTCCCCCTCTGTGCCGTCCTCTCCTCCCCTTCCCCTCCCCACTCCTCCCCTCCCCTCTCCCCTCCCCTCCCCCCTCCCGCCCGACTCGTCTCCCCTCCTCCCCTCCCCTCCCCTCCCCTCCCCTCCCCTCCAAGCGTATTGGGTCGCTCTGCGCCATCGAGGTCGGGCTTCAGCGCCGCCCACCCACAAAGGTGGCCGGCCTAGGCCTTGAGTTTAGGGTTTAGGGTTTAGGGTTTGGGGTTTAGGGTTTAGGGTTTAGGGTTTGGGGTTTGGGGTTTAGGGTTTAGGATTTGGGGTTTAGGGGTTAGGATTTGGGTCTCTCTGCAGCTCTCATGCTTGAGTTGTCGGGGTAACAACACAGGCGCCGAAGCAACAGAGGTACATTGGAAGGAGAATCGTTACAAAAGGACCGCAATGAGGCTATATGGCTGGCAATATATTAGGGGCCGTAATCCCTGGCATAGCCGTTTGGGGTGTGGTATAGAAAAGCCATCATCATCATAAGGAACCTGAACCAAAGGCAAAATATCACTAAGCTTTCGGGCATCTGTACTACTTAGAAGCCTTTGTAAAATAGATCGGGGTTTTTGGCTGGGACGACCTGATCGGGCGCGGTAAGTTTGTCTCAATCCGTCAGTAGGGACGCTTCCAAACTCAAACTGAAAGACAAAACACAGCAAACCCCTAAATCTAAATACTATGTCCTGTATCCCCTATATAATATAGGGGTCTTGATCATAAGAATGGGTTTTGGGTATCTGTTTACCACAACGATACTAGTGCTATAAGGGCATACAATTTTGAATGCTTCCGAACCCTACATTGCCCACTAACGACAAAAAACAGCAACCCCTAGATCTAAATCCTATGTCCTGTATCCCCTATATAATGTAGGGGTCTTGATCATAAGAATGGGTTTTGGGTATCTGTTTACCACAACGATACTAGTGCTATAAGGGCATACAATTTCTAATGCTTCCGCACCCTACATTGCCCATGTTACACCCGAAACCCTGGGTACCCTAAACCCTAAACCACCGGCGCGGGCGAGGGCCTGCCACGGGCTCAAAACTTGCTCCTGCGTCCGGTGATAAGACCGAAATCCTTGAGGTTTCCCGGGGGAGTTCGAGCTTGGATCCCCGGTGGATGGCCGATGCTACAGGGCTGGGGGGGTTTAGGGTTGAGGATTTGGTTCCTAAAGGGTCTCGGCAGGGTTCTTCAATTTCCACAATGGCTTTAGGGCTGATCGAGTTGAGCATGGGGTATTGGGATTTCCGGTCGAAGGTTCAGGACCCTACGCGCGGCCTCGCAACCTTGACAGAACAGCAGCTCCAAAACGACATCCAGCCCCCGAGCCGAAACTGAGGCAGCCCGAACTCCCGAAACTCTGAAACCCTGAAAATCCCAGGGCCACAAAAACACTAAAATGCAAAATTCCTACGCCGTTGGTCTTCGCCTTCTTTTGCTTTCAGCCCCTTGGGGCCAGCTTTAGTGTTTACGGCGCTGTACGAGGCCAGGACGGCTTAGGGTTTAGGAACCTGCAACCCTTTAGGGTTTAGGGTTTAGGGTTTAGGGAATCTGGAGCTTGCAGAGCTCCGCTGACATTGCAGGTATGCTTGCAATGCCTATGTGACTTGTGAACTGTGCATCTGCATCGTAACTGCAGATATACATGCAAACAAAGATACGGAAACAAATGCTGATACAAATGCAGATATATACTAGTGAGTGACGTCTTGAGGGTCTATAACTGCATGGACAGGTGAAACAAAGCTTCGGGGCAGATGATTCTGATACCGTAAATCAACTCCTGGCGCCCAACACGGCAATCCTTAAGCCCCAAAGCCGCCACTCGAACTTTCCCTCACCGAAAATGCCCTCAGGACTGGGATCTACAAGGTTCGGGGTTTTTGGTCTAAACCCTCCCTAAGCCCTTAACCCTGAACCCAACCCGAAACCCTAGACTCTCTTAGACCCTGCCCTTAAACCCTAAACCCTAAACCCGAAACCCTGAACCCAGAGACTCCAATACCCCTTAATTAAGGAATATACCTTAAATTATAGTAGGATCCCTAATATGATTTAAGGAATATTCCTTAATTAAGGGATATTGGAGTCTCTGGGAACCGGCTAGGATGTCCAGACTGGAGAACTTAGTGGGCGATGTTTCGGTTCTAGGATTGAGAGCTCAGCGTGCAAACACAGGGCTAGGCGAGTTCAGGTTCCCGAATCTTATAATCTGGTGTAGGGATATGTACCTTAAGCCGGAATAACCTACCTTTTTAAGGTAGGTTCTTCCGGCTAAACCCTAAACCCTAAACCCTAAACCGATGTCTAGAATCTGATGGCCAGGCTTTGGCTCGAAGGTTCAGGGCCTAGACTTCAGGATCGGGGCTTAAGTTTACTTAAAGGATCATGGGACTTAGTAACTAGGGTTATAATTAGGGTAACTATACTTATAACCCCAATTTGGGTACTTATAACCTTACTTACTAAGTCCCATGATCCTCCAAGTAGGCTCCAGGACTTACGGTTTGGCGCTCGAGCTTTGGCGTGGTCCTCGTGGTACCACGGCACGACTGCCCTCTCCACAGCCATTCCTGTCCAAAAGCACAGAAATGATTCAGGATTCGGAACTCACGGTGGATAAGTGTTCATGCTCATGCCGGTCGCGAAATTTCGCATCGCAGCATGGTTGCACAGTTCGTACGTATGCGGTTGAAACTGATAGAAATCCTGACCGCGTGAGGGTCAAGGGGTGGTGCTTAGTGCGGTCGCGGAATGTCGCAGCGCAATGCGGTGGCTGAGTTCGCACGTGCCCGCGTGTAAAACGCTTCTATCGGGGGTTTGTCGGGGTTTGTGAAACGAGCAACGATAACGATGGGACTGGCCAAAAACGGACCTGTCTTGACGCATTAGTTGCCATGTGGGTGTCCATCACTCCGAAGCTTTCAGCTGTGCCCATGGCGGAGATGGCATTGGCATGCTTTGCCGCCCAACTGCACCCGGCGGGACACTGTGGTTGCGCAATGCCACCGGGGGTGCAACTGGCAACACACCCGGACACCTGTCTGGGATGTCGTGTGGAGGGGACCGAGGTGGACTGGGACTCTGCCGCGGCTGGTCAGCCACGAGGGTTGGCGCCGTTGGCGCAGCCTCGCAGCCAAACAATGTGCGCTCTTCATAAGTGATGTTGACATCACTTTGAGGGTTCTTCCGTACCCAAACGGCAGTGAAGAGGACGCTCAGTATTGTCAAATAGCCCCCGAGACTGCTGAATAAACTGAGGAGTTGCGGAATGACGCCCAGGTTTGCTGTAACCATAACCAGAGGTTCGTCAATTTCAACGAGAAGTGCACTTCTTCCCCCACCACCGCCAGTATTGAAACGTATCCAGTTTGGACACCAGTATTCGAAATCGAAGCCAGGATCTGTCCACTCCTGTGACAAGCTAGCTGAGAAGTAGTCGCGGAACGAAGTCGAGAAACCAGAGTTGTCACCATGACTCCGTTTGGTGAGTTTCACCTGCGTGAACATAGATCTTTCTTGTCTTCTAACTCGCTCCCAGATTCCACCACTCTCCACATAGATGAAGACCAGTTTTGCGGCATCATTGCAGAGACTAAAACTAAGCGGAGGGACTGGCATTTTCCAGGCTGTGAGATCTATGATGCTGCAGTTGTGTGGGTTGCCATCAATTGCATTCACTTCCTCGGGGATCTTGGACACCGGAACTGTCTCTGTCAGAGTTTCCCACTGCTTGTGCTCAAAGGAGGGAGTTGACTGGTCATGAGGCAGCCCAACACCAATTCCGTATAAAGTGTCCCATTCACATATCATCCACTTGCCAGCACCAAACCACTTTTTCATGCTGGTTTCTACAGGGGGAGTTTCTGCATGTCTCACAATCAGCACTGCCTGGGATACAAAGTAGAGAAGCAGGAAACCAATCAAGGTCAGCTGCATAACGAAGGCATATCGCTGATATTTCCCTTCCACACGGCGATAATCCATTGCAGCGAAACCCTGAACCCTAAGCCGTATGCGGCTTCCTTGAAGCCGAAAGCCAGCGACAGGAGCTTTGAAACTAGCACATGGGACCGGAAAGCACGGGCTTCAGGGGGCACTGGCTCTTCAATTAACAAACCTGAGGCCTTAAGCCAAAAATCCCAAAGCCTCTAAAATCAAAAATAGCGTACGACTCAAGCAGTAGCCCGAGAGTTGGAAGATCATCGAACCCCTGCCGATGCTCGCCCTCAACAACCCCTAAAGTGACTTCTTGAGTGTACTTTGGGGTTCTTAGGACTGAGCAAACAAGATCGTAAGTTGCATTGGGGTCAGAAGACGAAGATTAAATAATGGTAGTTACTCAGTAACAGCCCTACTTGCTGGTTAAGTTCCCTCACCCTTTAAGTAGAGGCTCCTGAATGTGGAGATCCAATGCAAAGAACAACGAGCGTCCAGAAGCCCTGAGAATACCGTAGCGGCCTCAATAATTAGAATAAGGACCCTCAAAAGGGTTCCTTTAAGGGATACTAGTTTCTAGAAGGTAACTACAGTATAAGGGTCCTCTAATATGGGGGACTTCGGAAATAGAATATGGTTTTGGGGCTCAGTATACTATAATTGTAGTAAGGAGACCCCAAAATAGTATTGGTAATTGTTTAAGCTCCTATGTTTAGAACCCTACTATAGACCCCGAACCCCAAAGTAGTATGGGTAATCATTACGGCCCTTACAGTTGGCCGCATGGGACCTCGAAGAGGACCTCAGGATGGCTAAAGCAACTTATCCAAGGGGAAAAGGAGGGACCCTTAATGGGGACCCCTACCCTATAATGGGGCTATAGAATGGGAATATACTGGCAATATTAAGGGTATATACCTAGGGGTCCTTATTAAGGGTCCCTCCTTGGAACCTAGGGTTGGGGTTTAGGGCACTCTAGGGTTCTAGGGTTTGGGGTTTAAGACTTAGGGTTTAGGGGTGGGGATCAAGGGCTGTGGATTCAAAAGCCTAGGATCTATATAAGGACAGATTCCACGTCGCGGAGCCTGCTCGAAACCCTAATCTTAATATCAAGATGCGGCAGGGACCCCCTTACGTTCAAAAGTACCACTTTTGGTCGCCATTAGTGTTGCATACTATATGTTCAAAACCCCGAAACGCTCAAACCTACACATTCAGCACATACGCCCCAGGGTGGGTCGCCTGTTGCCACGGTCCGAAATCTTGCACCCTGACCCTTAAACCCTAAACCCTAAACCCTAAACCCCCACAACTCCACCTGTCTAGCAGGCCCAAATCCCTTGAACCTGCAAGTCCCCTCAACGTGTAGCCCGATGAACCCATGAGGACTAAACCCCAAAGCGAAAACCCTCAAACCGCACACCCTATAGCCCCATGAACCCAAAACCCGAAAAATCCCAGAACCATGAGAACCATGAACTTCTCCGCCAAACAACAATCTCTCGGAACTCTCACAAACCCTCAACCCCTCAACCCCTCAACCCTTAACCCTAAACCCCTAAACCCTAAACCCCTAAACCCTAAACCCGAACCCCTCCCCCCCTCAACCCCTCAACCCTAAACCCCAACCCCTCCCCCCAACCAAGCAAGGCTCACATGGAACAAACCTGCTTTGGATGTGGAGCCTCGGAGGATGCAGCGCGACATCGCCCGATAAAACGACATCGCGGGCCTCCCACAAGCTGTTCACAGGGTTTTGAGGATTAGGGTTTAGGGCAGTTTAGGATTTAGATATTTAGGGTTTACGATTTTTTTTAAGGGCTCCTTTTCGAACTGCAGAGGGTTTTAGGGTTTAGGGCTTAGGGAAGTTGTTCAAAGGGTGCAGATCTAGGGGCCTGGAAACTTAGACCAAGGCTTCTTAGGGGGCTCCTGTGAAACAGAGGGTTCTACAACGGTTGCAATAAGCGTTTAGGGCGTAGGATTTCGGGTTTTTGATTTAGGGCTTAGGGTTTAGGGTTGAGACTGTAGGGTTGGGTTTAGGATTTGAGGCTGAGGGGTTACGGTTAGCTCGGCAAAGAGCTCACCGGGCTATCATTGCTTTCCAACCTAGAAAAGGTATGTCAGGTGCCGAAATTTAACTTGTTTAGAAGCCTTAACTCTTAAAGTATCTGTGTAACAGAGCCATAGTAAGGAGGTGGGCAAGTGTGTACTACGGTGAGACTCGGGGCTACTTGGAGGGTCGGGGGACTTAGTAACTGGTTATTTCAGGGACTTATAAGTACCATAACCCCAATTAGGGTCCCTTTTGGGGTACTTATAAATGTACTTACTACCTACTAAGTCCCCCGACCCTCCAAGTACGGTTTAGGGTCTTGGGACTGGGGTTTTAAAAACTCACGGATCTCGAACTTCAGGTTTTAAGGCAACGGTTCAGGGAGTGGGGCCAACGCAAAGGGCTTACCTAGACCCCCCCAAATTTGGTAAAATAATGGCCCAAAACCTACAAGAGGCTATCATTTTACATGCTTTTGGGGTCCAGGTAGGGTCTTGGAGATAGCTTCGGGGTTTAGGCTTCCGGTTTAGACGAGGTTCCAGCTCTGAGTCTCCCGACCTTTCGTATGGGTTTGAGGGTTTGAGGGTTTGAGGGTTTAGGGTTTAGGGTTTTGAGGGTTTAGGGTTTAGGGTTTGAGGGTTTAGGGGTTTAGGGTTTAGGGTTTAGGGTGTGTAACAGTATGCGCGCGGTGGGTGCGCCTTTTACTTTAGGAATAGGGGGCGCACCCACTAATCGCGCGCTTGCGTCAGCATGTAGTCCCGCCCCAACCACCCCAACTATTCTCAATTAGGGTTTAGGGTTCACCCCCCAAACCCCCCTCAAGGGGGGCTTTCTTGCTCTCTGCTTCCTTTCGCAGCTTGACATGTAAACAATAATATTTCTCTAGAAATCACAACCGAAATGGTTTCTGTCGGGTTGTGGGTCCTCGCGGCCTGTGCCGGCCGCTCGACGTAAAGCAAGGGTTTCCAACAAACAGCTTGCATCTCGCGCCCTGTAAGGGGTGCTCGAAGTGTGAACAAGGTAGGGCAGGGCAAGGAGTAGGTCAGGAACCAGGCGAGGGCAGGCAGGGCAGGGCAGGCAGGGGCAGGGCAGGGCAGGGCGGCCAGGCCACAGCAGCCGGCAGGGCAGGGCAGGGCAGCGTAGGGCAGGGTGGCCCAAAAAGGCCAAAATGCCCAGGGTGGAAGCCCCTGGGTCCTTGTTCTCTGCTCGCTGGAGGCCCTGGACCCCGCCTGGGGGGGGCCTTTTTGGAGGGTCCCCCAGCCAGACCCAAAAAGACATCAATGGTGAGGGGTTTGGGGTCCTCAGGGTTTAGGGTTTAGTCAACAACCTCTGCCTCAAGTCCCCCAGACCCCGAGCTCTGAATTTAAGCCGGCACCCCTCGAGGCACCAAGATCTGCACGTGAATCACAACTACTTAGAGGATCATGGGACTTAGTAAGTAGGTTATAATTGGGGTTATAAGTCCCCTAAGTGGGGTTATCCTAATTATAACTTACTTATAACCTTACTTACTAAGTCCCATGACCCTCCAACTACTGTACTAATTTAGCCGTGTAGGGCTCTTCACCCCCAACCCCTTGGGCCAAACCACGAACCCTAAGCCCCCAAATCTTAAGGCGCGTAACTTCATCAAGTTACCATAATGGGGATGTATACATAGTATATAATATGGTTTCTTCATGAGGCGCGTAACTTAATCAAGTTACCATAATGGGGATGTATGGTATATAATAAATGGTTTCGTCATGTTGGTAACTTATCTTAAAAGGTATGTAAGGGGCTGAAGGCCGAGAGTAGTGCGGAGCTGATGCCACAATCTGCGATGTGGGAGTTTCCAAAAATTAGGGGTACCTTATTTTGGGGTCCTTATAATAAGGATCCTACTATTTAGGGTACTATATCAGGGTCCCCTGTTTTCGGAAACTCCCATGTAGGGACCAAACCAATAAGCACAACAGGCAAGGAGGGATCTTACATTCATGTCTGAACATCATACGCGTACATGGTAACGTACGTACATTCATATACTAACATCGGATCCTTCGGAAGGGTTCCTTGCAACTGAATCTAAAAACCCTGAACCCCGAAACCTTTAAACCTTTCCCAAGGGATCCTTAACCTTAAACCCTAAACCCTAAACCTAAACCCTGAACCCTAAACCTTTAGGTGCCGGGTCTACGGATCCCGGCCTCGGCACAGGTTCGGCCGCTCCAGCGCAGAGCAGCCGCAGCGACTTCGGCGCGTGGAGCCGAAATGCTCTGTGTGAAGGGATCCTTTAAGGTATGTATAAGGGTTCCTTTCAGGGATTCATAAGGGTTCCTTTAAGGGATTTATAAGGGATCCTTTAAGGGATTTATAAGGGTTGCTTGAAGGGATCTGTCAGGGTTTGGGGGTTGGATATAATGCTTTTCGGCATCCTTCTTGCTGGGGATAGGCTCGTAGGATTTGGGATTTAGGGTTCTTAGTGCTTAGAGATTGAAGCCTCGAATCGACCACTTGCTGGGGCGTTTGCCGACAAAGGCAACGGCCTCTGTGATCACGGCCACCTGCAAAGCGCCATTGTTTGCGGGTTTAGGGAAGCACATAGAGGTGCGTTAATAATTAGAAACATGTCTTCTGAGGGATGATAATACTACAAAAATGGGGCCGCGGTATACGGCAGAAGAGGATTTTGTAAGGAATGGTAACGCTAGTTCCTCCGTCTTCCACAATACGCGCCCAGTTTAAGGCTGGGATCGGGGATTGGGCTGTGGCCTCTAGGGCTAAACCCTAAGACTCAGCCCTAGACCCTTTCGTGGCTTTGGGCCTGCCTGTGAGCTACATCCTGTTGCATTTACGGTTCTACTGAACCCTAAACCCTAAACCCTCAACTTAACCCTAAACCTTAAATTCTCAACTTAACCCTAAACCCTAAACCCTAAACTGAACCCTAAACCCTAAACCCTCAACTTAACCCTAAAACCTAAACCGTAAACCCCAAACCCTAAACCCTAAA